TCAATAGGTCATAACGGCGTCGTATCATCCCTTGTCAGACAGCTCAGTATCAGGCTTCAATTAGAGTGAGGGAGTCTCAAAGCAAGCTGCATTTGCTGTGCTCTCTCTTTAGCTCAACCAATTGTGCTCTGGGAATCCTTTGTCATATATGTAATTTTAAACAATGATCATGTATTTATAACACAAACAGATACAAACTGTTTAAAACTCATACATATAAAACTAAAATAACATTGACCCCTCCCCCTCACCCCCAAACCACATTATAAGCCACTGGTACTTGTCAGGTAACGGGGAGTACCAGTGGCTTATAACAGCAACCAGATTCTATCTTGTTTTGGAAACTCTTCTTGGAGATTATTGACTTGTTAACTTCTTAGTAGCTTTGCGCAATAATCTGGCTCAGCCTCCCCAATTAAATTGGATCTCTGTGGCGGATTAATGTTCATTCAGAGTAAGCCGATTTCCTGAAACACTTTGCCAATAGCCGGTTCTTGGGAAGAATGTAACAATGGCTGAGAACTCTCTGACATACATAAAGGGCGAACTTGCCATCGCGGAACACTCCTACATAAGGTATTAGTTCAAACTGTTATCGTGTCGCCTTCTTGCCAAGCGCGGGGCCCTCATACTCCCTGCAAACTGTATTCTTAGCCAATAAAGGGCCAGGCCAGGTGCTGGGTTCCAAAGTCTGGGACTACCACCATTGCATGCACACAGCAGAGTTTCACAAGACAGAGCCCCCAAAGATGAGCAGAGTGCAGCCAACACTGATCACCTCTACTGGGGCTCTGCATACCTGGCATGCTGTGGGGACCCAAGTGGGGCTACATGAGAACTTCTAAAATGAGAACTATGAGGGGGTGCTTTTCACTCCTCCTCATAGTTCTAGCCGACCTGTGATAATGAGACTGTCACAGGTCGGCTCAGTAGATCGGGAAGTGAGGGAACACATACCGCCGTTCGCTCACCTCTCGATCCTGTCACGGCTCTCTGCCGTGACAGGGGAGGGACTGGATTTCCCTGCTCCAATCCTCCAGCGCTGACTGGCGGAACAGACGGGGAGGGGGCGGGTACTGCTGGCTCTAGATAGGCAGAGCCAGCTGTCACTCACGCAGCTGGGCGGATCCAGACATAATTGTCAGGATCCGCTGCGGCGTCTCAGTATACGGCGAGCAGCAGCTCTCTATATACTGAGCCTAGGGTGACGGGAGGAAGCTAGTTTGTGTCCTCCCGTTACCCTAAGGAGAACTAAGGGGAAAAGCCCTAACCCCATACTTCTCCTTTAAGCCCACCATCCAGGTCATTTCAGAAGTCTTCTTCAACCTTTTTAAATTGGAAGCTACCGTTAAAATAGTGAGTCATGTGTTCTACTGGTGGGGACTACAGGCGGCCTTGCAGGCACATAACGCAGGCATGGTCCACTGTTGTTACCATCACAAAGCCGGTCCAGGGCAATGATGAGCAGCTGCATCCAAGCCGCACATCACCAAGTGCAATGCAAAGCGTGGGATGCCGCGGTGTAAAGCGCGCCGCCACTGGACTCTAGAGAAGTGGAGACGTGTTCTCTGGAGTGACCAATCACGCTTCTCTGTCTGGCAATTCGATGGGCGTGTCTGGGTTTGGCGGTTGCTAGGAGAACGGTACTTGCCTGACTGCATTGTGCCAAGTGTGAAGTTTGGGGGAGGGGATTATGGGGGGGCGGGGTTGTTTTCCAGGGGTTGGGCTCCGCCCCTTAGTTCCAGTGAAAGGAACTCTTAAGACATCAGCACACCAAGACATTTTGGACAATTTCATGCTCCCAACTTTGTGGGAGGAGTTTGGGGACGGCCCCTTCCTGTTCCGACATGACTGCGCACCAGTGCACAAAGCAAGGTCCATAAAGACATGGATGGGGGAGTTTGGGGGGGAGGAACTTGACTGGCCGCACAGAGTCCTGACCTCAACCCCCATAGAACACCTTTGGGATGAATTAGAGGCGGAGACTGCGAGCCCCTCCCCCAACATCAGTACCTGACCTCACAAATGGTCCAACATTCCCATAGACACACTCCTAAACCTTGTGGACGCCTTCCCAGAAGAGGCGGAGCTGTTATAGCGGCAAAGGGCGGAGCCAACCCAATACTGAACCCTACGGACTAAGACTGGGATGCCATTAAAGTTCATGTGCGTGTAAAGGCGTCCCAATACTTTTGGCAACACACGCACACCTATCATAGGTTACTATAGAGCCTTGTTACCGTTTAGCGGGTTTGTTTTGTAGGTGTGTCGCTGAGCTGAATCATATTTATAGAACGCACGTAATCCAATTCTGGGATAATACAATCATTTGTCTCGCTGAGCTGCACTACGGATACATTTAATAACTTTGTTTATTTAACAATGAAATGCTCGCGGATGTTCATTTCCAGCTGGCGGCATCCAAAGACACTAATTGGAAAGTGTTTCTAAGATGTATTTTTTTTAAAGGAGAACTATGAGGGGGAGGGGCTTTTCACTCACCTCGTAGTTCTAGCCGACCTGTGACAATGAGACTGTCACAGGTCGGCTCAGTAGATCGGGAGGTGAGAGAACGCATACCGGCGTTCGCTCACCTCTCGATCCTGTCACGGCTCTCTGCTGTGACAGGGGAGGGGCTGGATTCCCCCCTCCCCGCTCCGCCAGCGCTAACTGGCGGAACGGACGGGGGAGGGTACAGCTGGTTCTGCCTCTAGATAGGCAGAGCCAGCTGTCACTCACGTAGCTGGGCGGATCTCGACATCGATCCCGGGATCTGCTGCGGCGTCTCAGAATACCGCGAGCTGTAGCTCCCTATATACTGAGCTTAGGGTGACGGGAGGACGCTAGTTTGTGTCCTCCTGTTACCCTAAGGAGAACTATGGGGAAAAGCCCTGACACCAGAGTTCTCCTTTAAATCTGAATTGTAATGTAGCGAGAGGTCCGTTGATCCTTGATTATTCTTTAGCTCACAGGAGGCCGCCGTTAATTTTAATCATGAGATAAAAAGAGGTTTTTGGGGTTTTTTTAATCGATTGATGCGACGTATTCACTTTAAAGCTTTGATGACATTTCACAACCCAAAAAAACAAAAAACAATAAAAATTCAAAGTATTTAAAAAACAAGTTTTATTTCTTTAGTTCTTTTTTTTTTTTTCTATAGAAAATACAGGGCTATGGGTGAAATCATTCGATCCTCAGATCCCCGACCGTCAC